GGGCATGTTGCTAGTATTCTATAAAAGCAATATCGAAAACACTCAATAAAATAAAAATTAGTGATTATGGCTTAGAAATTAATTACCATTGAATATTTTAATAATAATTATTTTATTTTATTTTTATTAATTATTTTTTAAAATATTTTGTTAATATAATTTCATATCTTTATAACATATTATTACTTAAAATTTTATATTTTTATTATATTATTGAATATTACGTGTGTATGTGTATATATATATATATATATATGTATGTTTAGATATGAGAAAAGTATATAAAACAACTTTTGAAGAGTGAATGGGTTTTCCTTGATGATGGTAAAAGCCTTTCTAATTAAGCACACACAATCTTCTTCTTTACCTTCTTCTCATGCTTAGCCCTCTCTCTAATGTTTTATGTGTACTTGCTATGAAACTGAATTTAATTTGTATTTGACAATTATGTTCATCTAATGCTAACATTAGTATGGTTTGTTTGGTAGAGTGCTATATTCTTAATTTTAGTGATAAAATTTAAAATTTGATAATTTCAAGTAAAAAAAATTTATCTAACGATATTTCCATTGAGTTCTTAATCAAATTTGTTTCTTGTGAAGATCTTCGGATGGGAATCATACCAATGCATGGTACAGCTGCGGAAGGCGTCCATGAGTGGTCGAACATTGCTCCCCAGCCAAACTACTTTTTGCCTTTTCCTCTGGTAAATCATATACCTTCGGCTGGCATCATCATCTTGGTCACCCTTTTAGTCGATTACAGTTAGCAGACCACGCTTAATATTTTGTTTTTAAACCTTCCTGTATTCACAACGAATCCAATGTGGATAATTGGTATATTGTAATATGGGAAAGAGAGACTACAAAGGTTATCATCCCAAGTGGAAGTGCAAAATGTTAACTTTGCTTCATTGGAAAACGAAAAATAAATATACATAAAAATATTATGCCATTCATATAAGTGCAAAAATCAGGATGTATTATTGACATTAATTAATGTTTCTATTTCAAATAGAGACAGGACAAGAACCAACAATTTAACTTTCATGACATAGAATTCCAAGATATGATTTAATGCATGGTAGGTGCTTGACATAATGATGTGCCATCGTGCACAATTAATTTGCAGGAGTTCAAACCAAGCCTTATAGTTTGGCCTTCCTCATATTTTCCATAAATCTGAGACAACTGAGAAAGACTAGAAGTGGCAATTGGGTGGTCAGGGAGGGTTCTTGTCATTTGGGATTATCAACTTCGGATCATTTTGGATTTAATCCATTTGGGTTCTTGTCATTTAAAGATTAGATTATTTCAAATCTAATCATCTTAGATTTAAATAATTTTAAATTTAAGTCATTTGGATTCAAGTGATCAAAATCAAGTTAAGATCGGGTCGACCATTGGTCTAAGTTAATCTCAATGCTGCATTTTGCCAACTAGTGATTGTGGCGCATTTCCAATTGAGGGTTGCTATTTGCACCATAACTTTTTCTCTTCATACCCTACTACTATTAATATCTAATTTTTTACTCAACACACCCTAAACTCAAAATATAAATTTACTAAAAACCCAAATACCTCATTTCTGCCAACTGAAAACCCTAAAAATCTCAAAGGATTAAGCCTAAATCAAGCATTAATCACCCATTTGGCATTAGATAATTTACAATAAGAGGTAAATCATTTATTCTTTCAGCTTTTTTGTTTGATTTCGTGTTTAGTTTCGTAAGATTTAGGATTTTAAGTTTTGAGGTGTGATTCAAATATTTCAAAATGAATTTCTGAAAATTATTAAAGGTTTTCAAAATTAGATGTTTGAAATCATTCAAGAACTTTCAGAAATTCATGTTTGAAAGCCTTTATCATTTTCAAAATCCTTTAAAGGCTTTTGGACATCCATCTTTTAAAATCTTTAAAAAATTTTGAAAATAGATATCCATTTCTCAATGGTTTCCAGACATTTATTTTCCAAAGCCTTTAAATATTTTAGGAAATGGATTTCTGGTACATTGAAAATGGTTATGGAAAGCATTGCTCCCGCCAGAATAACGTAGCATTGTAAGGAACATTGATCCTGACAATATCATTAGCAGATTGGTAAATCCGATAGTAGAGTTATGGAAAGCATTGCTCCCGCCAGAATAACGTAGCATTGTAAGGAACATTGATCCTGACAATATCATTAGCAGATTGGTAAATCCGATAGTAGAAACCTTTAATCTTTTGGCCACCAAGCACTATATGTTCAATAACGTTTGCAACATTTTTGCAATTCTGACAAACATGCATCTGATAGTAATAGCTAAATGTGAAAAGATGCTCATGCAAGTTGGCTGTTGCATCATGTGCGATGAGGTAATCACGCTCCATCTCACCAAATTTGATCTCATCATAACATGTTTTTTATCAATAGCTTTTCACCTGTATACTTACTTACAAAGCAGCCAGTTGCTGGAAGGAAACATTATGGTGAAATCAAATTTGGTGAGATGAAGTGTGACTGCATCATCGCATATGGTACAATAGCCAATTTGCATGAGATTATAGGTTTCTATCGTTGGATTTAGACAGTCCATACCTTAGAGATATAGTTAAAAACCATTTGGAGATTGCAATAAGGGACATCTAATATTTTTGTGTCAAACATTGATTAAGGGATTGAATTTACCTTCTCATACCTAATGCAACAAAGAAAATAAAGTAAAAAATTACTTTCGAAAATACATTTAAGGTACAATGAAGAACTTTTTGGAAATAGATTTCTGATACATTGAAGAAATTTCTAAAAATGAATTTTTGATACATTAAAAAAGTTGTTGAAAATGAATTTTTGATAACTTTTATTTAATTTTCAAAATCAAATTTCGATGAATAATTGTTTTTTTTCGAAAATGAATTGCAAAAACTTACTAAGAAGAAGAAAGCGGTGTGAAGGACAAAAAAGTAATTAACTAATAAGTATAAGCAATTTCATCAAAGGTTAATTTTTTGGAATGTATTGAAAATTTTTTGGGATTTGGGCTTCGTTTGTTTTGTGAAAAATAACTTTCAAAAAATGATTTTCGTATTTTCAAGTATTTGTTTGGTAGAAAATTGATTGATCAACAAAAAATAACTTATTGGTTAATGAAAAATAAAGCAATTTTTTTGGAAATTGTCTTAAGGATTTGAAAAGGAGAAAATATTTTTTGAAAAAGAACTGTTTATGAGTAGAAGCACTTATCAATACTTTTGAATATAATTTTACTTATAAATAATATTATATAAATAAATAAATTATAATATATTAATAAATAATATATTATTAATAAATAATATAATATTAACATATTATATTAATAAATAATATGAAGAAATAATATTATAATATATTACTAAAGATATTATATTAACAAATAATAATGTAATATTAATAAATAATATAATAAATATTATTAATTTAATTAATAAATATTATAATAATATGTTAATAATAAATAATATACTATTAATATAATATATTAACAAATAATTTAAGGAATAATAAATAATTTATTTTAAGTATTTTTTATATTAACATAATATTTTAATATTAAGTATTATTATTAAAATATTATTATATTTGAATATTAATAATTTTAATAATAAATAATTTCAATATATTTTAATAATAAATCATTTTTAATATTTTCATAGTTATATTAATTTTATTTGAAAAAAATAGATTTTTCAGAAAAAAATCAAATAATAAAAATATTTTTCATTAAGTCATTCAAACAAAAAAAAATCTCTTTTAATTTAGAAAATATAAATATTTTTCAAAAATTATTTTTTAGAATCATTTTTTGCGAAACAAACGGAGCCAATAGAAACACTTTTTCCAGTTTTGCTTTTTTATATCATATAGACAAATTTTATTTTAAAAAAATTCCTATAAAAAGAAAAAAAACTTAATTTACTAATTATAAAATATTTTTGTATAAGATACTATTAACAAATTTTACCTTAAAAAAGCACTAAAGATTTTTTATTGATGGGATATTTAATATTTCAAAATTTTGAGTATTTATTTTTTATGTTTGCTTTTTTTTTATATTATATTTTCTTAAATTTCATCTTATTATTTGAAATTTTATATTTTTTTTACATTTTTTCTTAAGTGTCGGATTTTATAGGAGTCATTCAAGCTAAATTTTAAAAAGATTATTGTATTTTGATGATTTTAAATACTATAAGTAATGAAAATGAATTAATAGAATGTGTATATCATAATGAAACTTAAAATTATAATATACATATATTATCAAAAATTGATTTATCATCGACGGAATTTTTTTGTTGATAATTATCGATGGATTACTAACGAATTACCATTAGAATATAGTTATAAAAAAATTCGATTATCATCTACAGATTTTATTTTGTGCATAATGTTTAGGTAAAATTTTGGCGAGAATTAAGGTAAAAAATACCAACAAAAATTTTTATTGATAAATATTTTTTACAAAATTAAAAATGATCAATTATTCGGTGAAATTTTCATTCATAATATGTGAAAAAAATGAAAAGAATTAAAACCCCTAATCCTTATGAAACCCCAATTTTCCCTATTTTTGAAATCCCTAAACTCTCTCCCCCTCTCCGACCAGGCCTCTTTCTCATTGGTCGTTTGGTTATCGTCAGTTTCGTGCTCCATCATTGTCTTTTCTTTGACTGTTCTCCACCATGGACGATCTCCACCTGAGATAATCCATTTGATTTTTATAGTTTTTGCTATTCTCAAAGGAATTTTTAAGGCCTGATGCCTTTTATAATGTCTTAGTTGATAATAGAGAAAAAAAATTTGGAAGCATGTATATTGACTCTGATGTAGCGTGCTACTGGGAGGCAATGACCCAATAAAAATTCTTATTTTGATTTCTCATCACGATTTGACTATGTTTTATATTAGCTATTATCTTATTGCAACCTTTATTGCTTTATTTGGACTTGGGGCCGACAATATGGTAACATATATGCAGGGTTACAGTCAACATATTACATTTAACATATTAACAGAAAAAACAAACATGGAAGCTCTGTTGTGCACGAGATTGGGTGATCCAACATCATCAATATCAGCCCCAACCGGCAAAAACTCCGAATCGTCTTCGTCGCCCATTGAGATTAGCAGAAACCATCCCATCCCAGAATTGGACTCCCCAACAGCAGTGAGAGTCAAAGTTAAAGCCACCAGCTTGAACTTCGCCAATTACCTTGAGATATTGGGCAAATACCAGGAGAAGCCTCTCCTCCCTTTCATCCCAGGCTCCGATTATGCTGGCACTGTCGATGCCGTGGGCCCTGCTGTCACCAAGTTCAAGGTGGGGGACCACGTCTGCTCCTTTGCTGACTTGGGTTCATATGCCACCTTCATCGTCCAAGATCAATCCCTACTGTCCGTCCCTGCCCAGCTTAATTTCTAGCTTTGTTAATGCTAATACTAAATTATTGTCATATGAAAAATAGTCTCATGTGAAAACTGAAAAAGAATGCTTAATTAATGTTCCTGGTTGATTAGGTTTGGAGTGCCGAAAGGGTGTGATCTGGTGGCAGCTGCTGCACTCCCTGTTGCCTTTGGGACCTCACATGTAGCCCTTGTTCACAGGGCTAACTTGAACTCTTCTCAGGCAGGCCCCTTTTTATTTATTAATTAATAATTAATTAATTAATTAATTATTACTAGTATTATTTTTTTCATTGAATTCTATTCTATGTTTTCAACTCTTCAATAAGTATTGCTGTTACTATTACTGGTAATTGAATTGTAAAGGAGATAGTAACTACAGGTATTGCTGGTTCTTGGTGCCGCTGGAGGCGTTGGTGTTGCTGCTGTTCAAATTGGCAAGGTTTGCGGGGCAGTAGTCATTGCTGTCGCGAGGTACCTCTTTTTTCTTTCTACTTTTCCCCAACTCCAACTACCCATCACCAGTTCCTACCTGCTACTTTCTCCAAACCTTGTTTCCTATTACATTTTTAGCATTGAGCTTTTTATCCCTCTTAAGGGTCACGACTCTTGTATTGCAATCAATTTCAGGGGAGCTGAAAAGGTGCAGTTTTTAAAGTCCTTGGGTGTTGATTACGTGGTAGACTCGACTAATCAAAATGTAACTGCAAGCGTCAAGGAGTTCCTCAAGTCAAGGAACCTCAAAGGGGTTGATGTTCTCTATGATCCTGTGGGTGGCAAGCTTACCAAAGAAACTATGAAGCTCTTGAATTGGGGTGCTCAAATTCTTGTCATTGGATTTGCCAGTGGTGAAATCCCTGTCATCCCAGCTAATATCGCTCTTGTTAAGGTACTTGACTTTTCTCTTTCTTCTCAAATTGATGCGTAACATACTTCACTATGCTTGCTACCTGTTGTTTCCCTCCTATTGCCTTGTGCTGCTTTAGTTAGCCTTCCTTTCCCTGTCGGGCTCTTATTATGAAGAAGACTGCACTGAGTAGACCATCTTACTTATTCATTTGTGGGTATTGGAATAGTACCAAGTAAGATTGGTCTGCTGATATTTATGCACCTTATGTTATCGTTCCTGAACCTACTTTTTAATGTATGATATGTGGTATTCATTCTTCTGGCAAAATATGGTCTTCTTTGAAATAAATATATCTATATAACTTCATCAGTATGTGTGCTTTATTTTTCAACATATTCAGTTGATGTTATAGAAGATCATATGCAGACACTGCGTGAAAATAAAAAATGCAAATGAGTTGAAATCTGTGGAATTGTGATATCAACTTGTTTTTTTTTTCTTAACATTATGGATTCTGGGACTGTAGTTCAAAGATCTGGTTGGTTTATTGCGAGGTTTGAATGGAGTGGCTTTCAGTTAGCATGCAAAATAAGTGCCTAGCTTATGGCATAAATGAATGAAAACTTTCTGAAAATATTTAGGATAGTGATAAAAAAAAAATTTGTAATTGAAACAGTTAAATATAGCTTTAATGCAGCAGAGGTGGGTGGTTAACTTTATCTGATGAAGCTCAGTAGTCAATTTCAATGATAAACTAGTTAGTACAGTCCACTTACTCATAGTTGCTTGTCTTGAATTACCTTCTTGCACATCTATCTTTTGCAGAACTGGACTGTGCATGGGCTTTACTGGGGTAGCTACAGAACACATCGACCAGCTGTGCTTGAGGATTCCATCTGCGAGCTACTCTCCTGGATGGAAAAGGGCTTGATTACCATTCACATTTCTCATACTTACAGCCTATCAGAGGTCAGAAGCTCTTTTTGATATGTTCTTTCATTCTGCTTAGTTCTAATCTATTAAGGAAAACTATAGGTGAAAGATATTGAGAAAGTACTTGAAATTGATGTCTTATACCACAATGGTGAATGGGCCTGCTGAATGGCAGTTTAGCCCATGCTTAGAATTGCAGCAGAATGAATGTAGCCTCGGGGCCAACCTAGTACTTTTGATCATCACATTAGATTTGCATCTTGATCGAAGAGAAGTAGTATTAATCTGGAGTGCTCATTTTGGGGTAAATGGATGAATGTTGTTTCCAGTGTCCTAATTTCCCAGGACTTTCTTAAATCTAACAACTTCAATCGCAAAACAGCCATACTGATAGTAGATGAGAATTTGAGACCCATAAATGCAAAATTTACATTTCGTCCACACTTTTTTACGGAGAGTCACCAAAAAGATGAATTTAATATTTGTTAGCGATCCATTTCTTGTATTCATAATGTTAGTCTTTTCAAGGAAAAAAGAAAGAAGATGTCGGGCTAGCTTTAATACCCATTCCAGGATGAAAATCCTTGTCTGTTATAACATAATTGTATGATGGGTGCTAACAGGAGATTTATTGATTTCTTCGATTGATTTTATAATTTCCTTCCTATTTAGGAGATAACTTGAAAATTTTACTGTTGCAGGTGTAGTTTCTACTTTCTACTTTTGGATTGCAATATCTGAGCTTATTGATTACTTGTCTTTGACAGGCCAACCTTGCATTCTCTGCAATTAAAGACAGAAAAGCAATTGGGAAAGTTTTGATCTTATTAGATGATCTGGGAGGTGTAAGATCTAAGCTCTAAGCGATTAGAGTTTAGCTGGGGCAGGAGATTGTTTGCCCTAGCTCAAGTGTAAAAAATAAAAAACCCTTCATTATGATGTCATTTGAATTGAGTCTATAATTGTCTTGAGTAGATACAACTGCTAATAAGCTATTACGACCCATCGCACCGTGCAGCCTGCACGCTTTGGAACTGTCAGGAGGAAAGACTCAAGGCAAACTCTTTTGTTCAGCAACACAATGAATGAATTTTTAATTTTATATATAATAATATTAGATAAACATATTTTACGTTTTATTTTAATTTTAATATGAGTAGTAATAAGGATTACTTTTTAATCTTAAAAACACGATTTTTGTTAAAATTATAAAATTTTGAAAATAAAGTTTTAACAATCATTATTTTTTTATTTTAAAAAATATGATTTTTGTTAAAATTTTAGAATTTGTAAAATATAATTACAATATCTACTGCGTTTTTATCTTAAAAATGTGTCTTTTTACAATATCTATTATGTTTTTTTTATCTTAAAAACGTAATTTGTATTAAAATTTCATAATTTTAACATCAACTATGTATTTTATCTTAAAAACATACATAGTTTTTTTTTTTTAACATCCAATGCTTTTTTTATAAAAAAAAAAGTGATTTTTATTAAAATTTCAGAATTTCAAAAATTTAGTTTTAACATTTTTACGCCTTTTATCTTAAAAACATAATTTTTGTTAAATTTGAGAATTTTAAAAATACAATTGCAACATTCATTTCGTTTTTTAATCTTGCAAATATAATCTTTGTTAAAATTTTAAAATTTTGAAAATATAATTTTAATAATCACTACGTTTTTTTAATTTTAAAAACATAATTCTTGTTGAAATTATATAAAAAAAAAAAATTACATTTGCTTTGTAATTTTAAAAAGATTAAAAAAATAATATAATATAAAAATACAATTGAGGGTAAATAAGATAAAATTTTTACTTTTTTTCCTTAATCTGAAAAAAATTCAAGAAAACAAGAAGAACATTTTTTATTCTCTCTAACCTTCCCTTTTATTATATTGTTAGGAATTTTAAAAAAAACTAAAGATCACATTTTGCAAACCCAATTAAGGAATTCAATTACAGAAAATAAGATTCGCACAATAAAAATAAGATAATCCGTAAGAGATATAAAATCCACGTTTAGTTCATACGTCTATCTAATTTGAGCCTATGCTGCAATTACAAACCCCACAAAAAAAGAAAAAGGAAAAAAGAGCATTCGCCTTCTTCTTCCGCATCTGTCAATTATTTTTTGTTAATATTAGCAATATTAGTATTAATTCGCCTCTTAAGGGAAACTGGAAATAATAATGTTATATAAAAATGAAAATAATCACTATTGTTAGTGAACTTTTTAAATTCTATATTTTATAATTGTAAATGCATAAAAATATATTAGTAAATTAAGAATAGCTTAATAAAAAATAAATGATAACTTATTAATTAATCATTGATACTTTAATAAAAAATTAATAAAAAATTAGCCATAATTTAATAATAAATTAGTTTCAATTTGATAGTAATTAATTGATAAAATTAATAGTAAATCATAAATAATTTAATAGTAAATTAATGATAACTTAATACTTAATCATTGAAAATTTAAAAATAAATCAATATAAATTAGTAGTAAATCATCAATAACTTAATAATTAATCAGTGATAACTTAATAGTAAATCATTAATAATTTAATATAATTAAGTGATAATTTGATAATGAATCATGTATAATTTAGTAATAAATCTACGATAATTTTATAGTAAATGATCAAAAACAAAGTAGTAAATCAATGATAATATTATAGTGTTAGATTTGGCTGAAACCTCATTAAGTCATTAACACAAAATTTAATTTAAACTAAAAATGACCTAGATGCATGCAATAGATCAATCCCACTTACTCCAAGCCCATAAAATTGATGTCGGCATCTTATACTTCCCAATGCTACCTTTCGAGCTTCTATTAGTGACCTGTATAGTAAAAAGGAGAGAGAATTGCTCTCTACCCCTCAAAATGAGTTATGAAACGTAATGGGTTGATCTCATATATATATATAGAGGTGAAAACAGGGATCTCCATAAATATGTTAGTCAAAATTGATTTATTTCATTATAGGTCCAAACATAGAATTAAATTGATATCACATTTAATAAAAATCATACATGTTTGGATATATTATAATATGGTATCGCCATAATTACTTATAATTTGACATTAGTTGACCTAAGTATAGATTTATTATCTATGTTAGTCCATAAAATTAGATAAATTCAACAATCTTTTACTTGGATAACACAAGTCAATTCTAATATATTTTTAACATATAGTATTTATATATACATATACATTTAAAAGAAAAACAAATACGAACCAATAGAATGATCATGACTAGATTGTCAAATACTAGTAAATACCTAAATCATCACACAACAAAATAAACATTTATAAGCTCCATAATACATTGTACCAACAAAGTGGACTTACATGCTCTCTACAACCTGAAAGTAGTTATAAGCCTTATAATGCACTATATCAACAAGATATACGTACATAGACTTATGAATATTACACCAATAACAACAACAATAAGCATTTAATAGCCTTTAGAATGCATCGTACTAATAGGGTACATGTACATAATCCCATAAACAATTCAAAAACATTAGTATAATAGTGTGGAACGGAAATGATATGAAAAAAAATTAATATTAAAAAATTTAAATTGAGTGGTTTCTAAATATATGTTTTATAAATTTTGATTTATTAAAATATTTAAAATAATAGATGTCAAAATTAAAAAATTTTAACAAAAAAACGTCAACTATGATAATTTAACTAGGACAGATAGAGGGAATAGTAATTAATTGACAAATTTAGCAATGAATCATAAATAACTTAATAATAAATTAATGATAATTTAGTACTAATTAATAATTAAAAATTAAAAGTATATCAATATAACTTAATAGTAATCATTGATAAATTAATAGTTAATCAGTGATAATTTAGTATAGTAAATTAGTAATAATTTAATAGTATATCAATAATACTTTAATAGTAAATAATTAAAAACTTAGTAGTAAATCAACAATAATATAATAGTAAATACATAATAACTTAATAATAAATCAATTATAACATAATTATAAATTCATAATAGCATAGTAGTAAATCAATGATAAATTAATAAAAAAATAAACGAAAACTTAATAGTTAATGATTAATAATTTAATAGTAAATTAATAAAAATTTAGTAGTGGATTACAGATAACTTAATAGTAAATTTGTTTTAGTTTAATAGTAATTAAATTATAAACTTAGCAATAAATCATAAATAACTTAGAAATAAATCAATAATAATTTAGTAATTAATCACTAAAACTCAATAGTAAATCAATGATAACATAATAGCAAATGCATAACAGTATATAGTAAATCATTGATAATTTAATAGTAAATTATTGATAATTTAGTAGTAAATCACTAATAACGTCATCATAAATTATTGATAACTTAGCTATAAATCAGTAATAATTTAGTTGTAAATTAGTTAATTATTAATAACTTCATAATAAATTATCAATAACTTTATAGTAAATTAGTAACAACTTTATAATAAATTATCAATAACTTAATAGTAAATTATCAATAATTTCGTAGTAAATCATTTATAATTTAGTAGTAAATCATCTATAACTTAGCAATAAATTGATGATAATTTAGTAGTAAATTAACTTAATAATAAATCACTTATAACATAATTGTAAATTCATAAAACATAGTAGTAAATCAATGATAAATTAATAAAAAAATAAATGAAAACTTAATAGTTAATGATTAATAATTTAATAGTAAATCAATAAAAATTTAGTAGTAGATTACAAATAACTTAATAGTAAATTTGTTTTAGTTTAATAGTAATTAAATTATAAACTTAGCAATAAATCATAAATAACTTAAAAATAAATCAATGATAATTTAGTAATTAATCACTAAAACTCAATAGTAAATAAATGATAATATAATAGCAAATGCATAACAGTATATAGTAAATCATTGATAATTTAATAGTAAATTATTGATAATTTAGTAATAAATCATTAATAACATTATCGTAAATTATTGATAATTTAGCTGTAAATTAGTAATAATTTAGTTGTAAATTAGTTAATTATTAACAACTTCATAATAAATTATCAATAACTTTATAGTAAATTAGTAACAACTTTATAATAAATTATCAATAACTTAATAGTAAATTATCAATAATTTAGTAGTAAATCATTTATAATTTATTAGTAAATCATTTATAACTTAGCGATAAATTGATGATAATTTAGTAGTAAATTAACTTAATAATAAATCAATTATAACATAATTGTAAATTCATAATAGCATAATAGTAAATCAATGATAAATTAATAAAAAAAAATGAAAACTTAATAGTTAATGATTAATAAAATCAATAAAAATTTAGTAGTAGATTATAGATAACTTAATAGTAAATTTGTTTTAGTTTAATAGTAATTAAATTATAAACTTAGCAATAAATCATAAATAACTTAGAAATAAATAAATGATAATTTAATAATTAATCACTAAAACTCAATAGTAAATTAATGATAACATAGTAGTAAATGCATAATAGTATATAGTAAATCATTGATAATTTAGAAGTAAATTATTGATAATTTAGAAGTAAATCACTAATAACATCATCGTAAATTATTGATAATTTAGCTGTAAATCAGTAATAATTTAGTTGTAAATTAGTTAATTATTAACAAATTCATAATAAATTATCAATAATTTCATAGTAAATTAGTAACAACTTTATAATAAATTATCAATAACTTAATAGTAAATTATCAATAATTTGTAGTAAATTGTTTATAACTTAGTAGTAAATCATTTATAACTTAGCGATAAATTGATGATAATTTAGTAGTAAATCATTGATAAGATAATAATATGAAATTGATAACTTATTTGTTAATTAGTGATAACATTTTTTTATACTTTAAGTTTCCAGTGATTGAACCTTAGTTATTAGAAAGAGCAAAGCTAGAACTTTGACATTAATATGCAGAGTTATAGGTTTTCTAATAAGAGGTGAATGTCTGTTGTTTGTTGCTCCACTACAGCTTAGACTGTCTTCCATAAGACCATAATCAAGTCTTTAAACCCTTGAGCTTTTATCTTTAAAGTTTATAGGTAGTAATTTAGATTTCATGATTCAGTTGTGCTTACTATTCTTTTCTCGTTTTTGTTCTTGTTTATATACTGTGGTCTGTAGTCAGGTCAAGCCTCAAGCTGCAGCAGATCATATGCCGTTTGCATTATGCAATCTCTATTTAGTGTGTTCAGCATTTGTGAAAGCCACGCTATGCAAAGTCAAGCATTCAAGTAGCTAAATAAGTCAATTAAGCTATTTCTTGTGTTGACAACAACAGCAGAATTAATCTGTTACTTTTCTTTCGGAATTTCTTCACCTTATGTTTATCTTTTGGGAAGTATTATACAACGTAGTTTATAACTATTGTTTGCAGACAGATGGAAGTGAATATGAAGAAGGTAGATTCAAAAAAATCAAAATCATGTTGGTGGGATGGTCTTCTCAATCCTTGCATTTATGGTTCACTATTCTTTGTTGTTGGTTTAATTACATATGATAATCATATCAACAAGTGGGATGGTCTTAGATTCAGTAAAACATGGCCTTGTCAAGTCAGAAATTATCCTCTTTGCTAATTCAATTTAACTATTATGAAGTCATCCCATGGTTTGTAAATGGTAAAAGATTCTTGGCTGCAGAAATAGACCAGAGTGTCAAACAAATAATGAAATTGGTGGAAGACAAACATGAAGATGCGACAAAAAATGATGAAATACATTCTCAAAATAAACCGGAGGTGATTGTCCAAGTTCAGGAACTCTACCGTATTTATCAGTCATTGGGTGAACGCTATGATCATTTGTCTGGGGAATTGCGTAAGAGTCTATCATCTGATTGCCAAACACAAGGCCCTGGTAGTGGTTTGGATCAAAACTCTACACTGATAACACCCAATAAAAAACTGGGAATGTGTAAGTCTAGTCAACAAGCTGTATCTTTCAGTTCTGGTAAGTGGTTGCTCTGATCACTCCTTGAAGGAAGGCACTGAATCATCTTCATTCTCATCAGATTCTGACTCAGAATCTTTCAGCTCCTCTGTCAACATCTACTTGAGCCCAGCAGTGGATGCTGATAATGGTTTAGTACGTCACAAAGTTATTGAGCTAGGAAGTGAGCTCCCAACAGTGAAAGAGGAGCTACAAGTAGAGAATGCAGATGGTAAGTTGAAAATGAAAGAAAACAGAAGTTATGAAGAATTGAATGAAAGACTCATTAAGTACGAAGAAGAGTTAAAGAGATTCCAACCTAAAACTCCAGCTTGCAGAAGAAGAGATTTTGAGGTTGAATACAAGGCTCAAGCAGAGTGAGTCTGTTTCTATCCTTGCTGAGCACATGCTCGTTCAACTTGAATCATTGCAGAGAGGTATCCAAATGAGGGAAGATGATCTTGAGTTGGAGAAAAGAAAAGTACTTGAGTTGCAAAAAACAGATAGTTGAGCTGGTAGCTCATGTTTCAGACTCCAACTCTGAATTTGTGAGGTTGATGGAGGAGCTTGCTGTAAGTAAAGAAAAGATCAAGGCATCAGACGAAGAGATTGCAATGTTTAAGCATGAGCTTGGGAAGAAGATTTCTGAAGATACTCATTATGTGCTAGGTCAGCTTGAATCTGGTCAAGAAGACATAGCCATGTTAAAAGGACAACTTGACATAGAGAGGAGGCAGGTTGTGAAGCTGCAGGAGCAAATTGTGAGGTACAGCAATGATCTATCTAATCGTGGTCGTAAGGTTGAGGAATTAAAGGTTACATTAAGTTTTCAGTGTGAAATTTTTGGCCTGTTAAAAAAAGAGACCCTCTTAGAGGCAAGACTCAAAGAATGGGAACTACATGGAACACCATTGGAGGAAAAAATAAGGCAATGTGAAGCCGAAAAATTGGAAATCAAAGGTTTGTACGATGTTCACAAGATCGGGTTGCAAGGTCAGATCAGTCAGTTGAAGGCAGAACTGGGTGAGAAAGGAGTGCATTTAGAAACGCTGAATAAGAACCTTGACGGACTGAAATTGAAATATGATATGCTTATGGCAGATAGAGATGGAGTAATTGCGTAGGTAAATACTCTTGTAGCTGAGATTACTTCTCGAGATTTGCAGATTGGGCAAATGGAAGAGCATCTACAGCAATTAAGCAGGGAACATCTACAGCTGATTTCCGAATCGAAACATGCGAAGAATCTAGAAGATGAATTGAAATTGAGAATAAAGGACCTTGAGAAGGAAGTTGATAGGCAGAGAATCTTGATATTAGATATGGCTGAGGAGAAAAGAGAGGTGATACGACAGCTTTCTTTCACACGGGAGCACTATAGGAGAGGTTATAAAGAATTTAGGGCCTTTTTCAAGCACAAACGGCATGCAGTTATGGCTTGGCATGCAGTTATGGCTTCATGAGTTTGATTGAGTATTAGTAAGGCTACAAGTCTTCATTGTCTCATCCTTTTTTGTTCTATGCTTTGTTAAATTTCTTTAATGAACTTGTCAAATTAGTTCTTAATATTTATTTTCCATGGGAGGTTTTGGGTGATATGTTGTATAGTTGCATTGATGCTTAGATAGCCTTGAAGCTGCCATTACGCTATATATATCCTTGCATGTTAGTAAACATCTGAACATTGCTATGGACAAATTTGAACAAGTTTAAAATTTCAATCAAACAGAGTCGTTCAGATTATGCTCGTGCTGTATTGCGAACTGCAGGAATCTTGGTTTATATTTCTCTTATTAGCTTGTGGATTCAGCTTTTACTGCAGGAGTGTTGAATGTGGATTGAATCAGTTTGTAGATTCCAGACTTTTGTTCAGAAATTGATGGCCTTTTCCCCTATGTCCCAAGGAAGAAGGGGGTCAAGTATATATTGGTAACAAATATTAATCTACTTGACCCTATGTATGCTGACATCTTAAATTTCAACTCTTTGTTAAGCTACTGTTCGAGTCCAGTATTGTTTTCTGTTTCTAATAATGGAAAAGTTATAATTAGACAGAATACATTTGTTACAAATTACAATACATGGGTGTTTTGCATGGACGGGGAATGGATAATTATGAGCTATAGAACTGCCTTTAGCAGTTTTATTTTCATTTTATACGATTCTTAACCATTTATATTTGAATTGATGTGACTGCAATTAACACAATTCGTTTGTGTTTCAAACTTGTCGTCACATTAAATTGTGGAAAATTTCATCCATGATCTGCCCTGCTTCTGTTTGGGAATGGGTGATGTAATCCTTTGCAATCCACTTTCATGTTGTCCGCCAGGAAGAAACATTTAGATTTGAGTGGTCGATCTGATGAAATCATGATCCTTTTCCTTGTCTCAGTTTGGACTTAGTTGTGGTCTGTTTTTAACTACGCAGGACGGCAGTTCAATGACTCTTTTCAAGTCCATACTCTTGACCAAGCTTTTCTGTCAACCTCCATGAATAAATTATAATATGTCAAAGCAAAACAGAAAGTGAAACATGTAGGATCGAGTAATTTTTTTTTTCATCTATATAGTTTAAAATCGCATATATATATATATATATTTGTCATTGTCAACTAGGCATTATCGGAACATTTAATCTTAAACAAAGTTTATGGGTAGGCATCAATTTCTTGTGTTTATGACTCGTTCAATTGGTTCCACCAAGGAGCCTTTGTTTGAAGTGATTATGCTATCATGTTCTGTACATGAATCAAATTCACATGAATGGCTCATTAGGTTTGGTATTTCTATCAAATTAGAACAAAATGAGAGAGAATGTTGGAAGAACATTTGTGAAGATGCCATGGTAGTTAACGAAGAAAGTGTGGGAAAATGGCGAGTTTCATTCACATATTCATATATTCATGATCAGATCCAATCTAATCTAAGTTCATTAAGAGAGGACAGCGAAAGCAATCTGTCCTCTGCCTCGTGCCTCGTGGCAGAATAGATGTGGTGGATTGGCCACATCAAAAAGGATTTCTAAATTGATCGTTATTAATGCTGCTGCGGTTGGGGGTTGGGGATTGGTTTGCTTTGGCCTTGCCGGTCATCAAAGGCAAAGGCAAAGACTGGATCCGAGAGAAGTGGATCCCACTGCCAGACCAGACGATGTGAGACTACCGCCATAGGCCATAAAGACAAGAAATTACTGTTAGCTTTACGACTTTCTGGGTTTCAATAGAGGGGGGTGAGATGTTGCCACTTGGCTACTTCCATCTGGCAATGGCGAACTTTTAGTCAAACCTATGACTTTTAGCCCTTCCCATTCTACCTAGAACGTTGACTTTTATAGTTCTTGTTCTATTCCATACTGGATCAACGAACCCTTTAAAAACCCGACTTGCCATTAAACATTTTTTTTTCTGAGAATAACTTGCCATTAAACATTCTGAGTTAGTTCTGAGCTTTGTTTATGTTGTTTTTCACAAAATTAAAATTGTTTGGAAACCCAATTTCTACTTCATGACCATGACCATGACCATGACCATGACCATGACCATAACCATGAATATAAATATTGTTATTATTGATCTTGGAAACTAGAAACTACCTGGAAGTAGGAACCAAGGCAGTGCTTGCTTTGATCAAAATTCTTGAATTGTACTTTGTAAAACAGAGATGTATTAACATAAGGGAGATTTAAATTAAAAAGAAGAAATATTAACAATCTTTAGTTTGTCTAAAAGCATATTTCATATTCTTTTTCAAACTGCACAGGCAGAGGCAGATAATTAACAATTGTCAAAAGACTTGCTTGTTTGTTGCTAAAACTAGATGAAGAAACAGGGGGCATAACAAGGGTCCATGCACATATGCAATGCAAACAACAATGTCCAAAAAAAAAAAAAAAAAGAAGTGACAACATATATTACACTATACACTAGGGGTACACATAAAATAAAAAAAAATTAAAAAAAGAAAGAGGCCAACAGGAGTGGTTGACTTGGTAAAATGCCAATTAGTTTAACGTTGAAACGCAGCAAATCTCAAAGCAACACAACAGCTTAAACAATTCAGATTCAGACAAACCTGCTCTTCTTCCAAAATACTTTGACAAACAAACAAAAATTGGAAACTGTCCTACCCTTTCTAGTCTGTAACCGTATCTTTACCCGACCAAGTCATCATACAATCTCCTCTCTCCTTAACCTTTACCTTAAATTTGATTGGCGCCGACTTTAACTTCTCAACCCCGCTCTCTCCATTGCTCGTCTCTTTTTCAGCTTTGGACAGCACAAAAAAGAAAAAAAAAAAAAAGGCAAAAGACCATAAGCAGAACAAGATGATGATGAGCTGAGAGGTCTGCTTTGGAAGTCAGGGTTTTGACTGTAAAGCCTTAAACCGCACGAAAACCAACTCCAAAATTAAGATTAGCCATATAGCCAAAGACAAAAGACCCTTCCCTTCTTCCATTTTGATTTCTCAATTCTCAAAACTTCAACCAAAGACCTCAACCTTTTGCCCACGTCAATCGAATTCTCTCTGTTATTTTCTTCCAAGTTTCGTTAATAATAGGCTTCAAACACTTTTTCCTTCTTTCTTCCTTTCTCTTTTATTTTGTTATAAAAATAATCAAACATCATCATTACTTTCATAATCTCCTTATTTTCTTTCATAAAATTCTGCGGATTATTTGCTTCACATTTTGGCTGACGTTTTGATCTAAGGGTATGTTTTTATCACGTCATTTTTATCCCATCTGCTTTTTCTTTTCTTCTTCTAATTCTAAATTAACTTTCACTTTTTTCATCACCTCTGAATATGAATATTGCTGCTCTTTACTAATGATTTGGAAACCACTTTAACTCTTTCCTAGATTTCTAGTGTTATATACATTAAATACTGTTGTTGACTGTGTTTATTTGTGGGCGTTGATTAATTTTCTTTTGCTAATATTTGGTTGATCAGTAAGGAGAATTTCTTTCTGTTTGTTCTTCTTTGGAATTTGTATGCCTCAACAAATTGATATCTTTTTAGCCAAAAACACAGACTAGTAGATTTAAAAATAACCATCCAGCTTAGAAATATTTCTTGTCTAGACGTCTAGTTGTTCCTTGTTTGGCTTAATAGGGCAACGGCAACAGTTCAACCCCACTTCACATTAAATTTGCTCACAAGCTATTGAACATAACCTATCTGCCTCCAGAAGTCTGGATTGTGGAGTTGTCTAACTTTTCGCCTACTATTTCAAGCACTCCGCTCATTTAATTAAAGTTTCTGGCCTGTTTCTAAGTGTCTTTCAGGATCAGGAGCGATTGGTTTCACTTCTACATAAAGTTTTAGATCCTCTCCGTTGTTTAAGTTATTACTCAAATCTGTTGTTATGCAGCATAAAATCCTTTGAGAATTGCTACGAACATGCCTCGTCTAATACGGTCAAAGCCTGTGCTGTATCTGTTCTTGATAGATCATAGATAGAATGCAATTTGGTTGGCATTTTTCCAGAATCATCTCTTAAATGTATAGTTCCATTTTGATACTTTTCCTTCATGTATCTATCTAACAAATATAATTCCATCTGTTTGCAGACAGTGAGAGATTTTTGTTTTACTGCAAGCACAGTACCTGTGATTGAAGCCAGGATCAATGGTAGACATCTGATCACAGGTTGACTACATGTACATATCTGGAGCAACATGGCCAGTGGGATAACCCCTAAAGTTCGATTAGTTAGATGTCCTAAATGTCGATTGGTTCTTCCAGAAGTGGCAGATTTTCTTGTATACAAGTGTGGAGGGTGTGAAACAATTCTTGTAGGTAAGCATCTTTCAAAGTACATAGATCTTGCGAATCACAATGATCTTTTATTATCTCGATGAACGTGGGAAGTGGAACTGAATACTGAGTCTGAGTTATTTTGCTTAGTGATTTTCAACACTTAAAAAGTTGTCTCAGAATATGTGTAATTCTTCGGTATCTCAATATATTTTGATCCTTTTCCATGGTTTTCTTAAATAATTTGAGCTTAGACATGTATCACTCTTTCACAATGGTTAAATATTAATAATAGACTTATAACTTGGCAATCCTCATTGGCGTTTATTCTGCTTTCTTGTTTTGACCTACAGAACCTTTTTCTCCACTCTTTGTGTTTTGCTGCTTATTTCAATTCCTTCCTGTTTTCAGCTAAAAATCGAAAAGCGCTTGTCAAAAGCACGTCCGACATGCAAGAAACAGAAGCTGCTCACGCAGATAAATTGGTTCATGTGTCTGAACATGGAGAATCTAGCAGCTCAAGACTGCAGGAAGTTCTTCCTTCCCTTCCAGAGTTTTGTCAAGAAAGCGGAGGGAATCAGAACATATCTACTGACTCTCATAGTGAGAAGCTTGGTGAGAACTTATCAATTGAAGGTCAACATAATGATCACTACGAGAAGGATCAAAACACATCCAGTGATAATGATTGTGATAAGCTTGAAGAAAATATATCAAATGAAGGGCAGGAAAATGGAAGTGGACAGTTACAGTTGGAATCTTTAGAATATTGCAATATTCAACAGCCAGGAGTTTCCATTGAAGTTTCTTTATCCACTGAGCTTCATCATGAGAATGAAGAGTTAATGTTTGTAGCTGAAGCTAATTTAGAAACAGAGGCAAATGACAAGACCTCGCAGTTAGGAGCTGCAAATTCAGAATTAGAAACTAATAGCAAGATTGATTCCAACAAAGGAGGCTCGAGCATTGACAACACACCAGCTACAAGAGAAATTAATTTAACTGCTACGGCTTGTGCAGTATCACAGGAAGTCATCCCATCAGGTGATCTTTTCTCTTCCCCTAATGAGTCTCCGGAGCAACCTCAAAAAAGTGAACATCATGGGTTTGATCGTGTAAGGTCTACAGATACTTTTGAATCTGCAGATTTTGTCAGCCTCAGTTCTGAGCTCAGTGGTCCTTTTGAATATTTGTCTAAATCCACTACCACCAGAAGCTCTCATGCTTATTATGGCAGTATCTCTTCTTATGATGGAATGGATGATCACTTCCCTGGCCAGCAAATACATTCATTTAAAAATACTTCTAGGGCAGGTAACTATCTGGTTCCTGAAGAAAGGCACAGAATGGGCAAGTTGCCAGCCAAAGGCATGATGAATGGTAATTCTGGAATGCGAGATCATGCAAGAAATTTCTCATCAGATTCGTCCAACAAGAAGCATTATGCCACGGAAAAATACAGCAAGTGGCATCAAGATGAAATGCTAGAATCTGTAACTCACCGTCCACTTAGAAACTGGCCAAGACTAGAGAGAGATGAATATCCATCTCAAATTCCTTTCTCTCAAAGGGCTTCCTTGCATGGGTATGAAAGCGCTGGCCCTTCGCTTGAATTGCATGATGAGTTCCCTGTTGATTCAGTCTTCCATCGACTTGATAAGGCTGAGTACACTGAACAGGAAAATATGAAACTGTTAAGAATGGTGTATGAACTGCAGGATCAAATTAGCAAAGCATGCCATCTGAATCGAAAGCCCAATGGAAGGACTTCCACTGATGTACCTTGGAGGCAAAAGCATTTTCCTACATATGACTATCCGGAGCCACATGAGGAAGAATTTTATCCTACGTATCATGGAAGACGTGGACAGAGGAGCAGCTGGAGTCAGCAAAGTAGATTCTCCCATATACCTCTCTCCGGAGGTGCAATGAACACTGGACATATCATTGACAACTCCTGTTCATGCAGCCATCCTCAAGACTGGAAGCGTTCAGAACAGTTACCTCCACCTATCTTTCGACACAACCGAGGATTTTGTAGAGCCCACCCTGATTATAATTGTTACAATTCCTACAGCTCTTGCCTCTCTAGTCCCCAAAGATGTTTGGAGTCTGATTTTTCTATTTGGAGCCATGAAACAAAATCTGATGATCGGAGGTATAAAGATCATGAGCTGAAGAGGTATTTGGGGGAGAAACATAATTCAGTTAGGCGACATCTCCGGCCCACGGCTGGTGGAGCACCTTTTGTAACTTGTTATAGTTGCTTCAGACCATTGCAGTTACCTGCAGATTTTCTACTTTTCAAAAGGAGGTTCCATCAACTAAGATGCGGTGCTTGTTCTAAGGTACTTAAGTTTTCGCTTCAAAAAAGAATTCACTTAGTTCCTTATGAACCGGTTGCTGCAGAACCTCCACCAAGTGAGGTTGAGGACTGCAGTGATGCGATTAATATAAGTATTTGGACATCAGAATCTTGTAGCCATGGCTGTTTGCAAGCAGATCCTATGTCTTACTCTGATGATAATGAACACTCTTTTTGTAAAAGCTGTTCCACTGATGGCGCTCCTGTTTCTCATGCACAATTTCACGACCTTCAGGGCAATGCTGATGTCAAACATGTGTCTTGTAGTTCTTCCAAACCTATGGAACCGAGAAAGGACTTTGTTTTGAAGCAGTCTCAAAACAAACATAAGAATTCAATGGAAACTTTTGATTCAGCTGGGCCTTCCTCGAATATGTCCAGGTGGGAGAAAGTGTCCTCAGAAATTGAGCAGTTGCCACCGAGAACTGGAAGTTCACCGCTTCATAAACTCATGGGCTATTCTTCACCAAGCCAATTGATAAATGGATCTGAATCTCCGGCACAATCTCATTCCACTCTGCCAAACACTCAGGATTAAACAGCTGAGTAATGTTTCTCAAGGTACGTAATTGCATCTGGTAAAACTTAACTTTTCCTGGCAAGTTGCTGTAGCTTAAAAGGCTCAGTGATCTATTTACCTGATTGAAGGTTTTGAAGTGTTTGAAAGTGAGCATGATGTGTCACCAAAAGTGAGATTCCAAAATGAAAAAGGAAATTTTCCATGTATTGTTCCCTATTTAGCAGCATGGGTGGAATAGCATTGATCTGATTGTTTTGTTTTATTATAGAACAGAGTTGTAAAACTAAGGTTTTTGTTTTATGAATGTAGAGGCGTTTATAGAGTAGACCCTTAGTTGATTGGTTTATTCATGTATAGTTGATCTTGGATCATGTATAAAAATGGTTGGAAAGATAGATCATCTTTCTATATTTACAAAATGAGATTAGATGTGTTACACTGTTATGACAACTATCCTTATCTTTATTGGTTCTGCAATGTTTTTGTTTCACGTGGACGTCTATAAGTTGTATGTTATGCAACTTGTTATAACCAGACAATAAGACTAAGAATTTGGAACCCGCTAACCAACAAGGAACAAATAGTTGCTTGAGGTAATTGTTCTCAAACCATTGCCAATGTATTGAAGACCAATCATACGAGCTTCGGGAGGTTAGAATAAAATCATTAAGTTTTTAAGATGATCATCATGTGCTAAAATTCATATATGGTGCGGAAGGACGAAGAGTTGTATTTACTTTGGAGGCGAGAAGAGAGACGATCTCGTAGCTGTGTTCGAGGTTGAGAGTGGCAGCTAATTTCGATGCATTTTTACTTTTTTTTTTTACAGCAAAAGAATATGATTAAAAGAAAAATGTAAATATTCAGATGCTTCTTTAGAATAATTCTTTGGTGTGTGATGCATTCCTAATTTTATTTCCTTTCTTTTCCTCATTAAACTTCTAATCTTTTCCACTGTTGTCGATGAAACATACAACCAGTCGAGCAGTCACCAATCGTAACTATGAAAGTATGGTCACACATCAACTTGTTTCTTGTTTGTTCTTAACCATGCCTTTTGGCTTTATCCCAATATCTGAATCAGTGGATAACGTATCAGTTCAGATGTTAAATCAGAATTCAGAAGCTTTTAACAACTCAATCAAAGCTTCTGTTTCAATCGTCTGATATTTAAAGCAACTTATATCGAAATCAAGACATACAAACTGAGCAACCTTAAACAAAATTAATTAAAGTTGCTGGTTATTTTCTTCTCTTTTAGCACAAGATTTTACCTACAAAAATTACCATACAAGAAGCTAACAAAAATTTAACGATATAAGAGCATTTGGGTACTACTAGTAGTTCCCACTTCATGACATTTTTTGACATGAGAGATCAACAGTAAAAATTGGGGTGATTGGTCTATATTCGTATACTATAATCATTAATCATTCTGTATCAGATTCAGAGTCAGACTCGCTGTCTGATTGCATCTCATATGGCTTGATTCTATTCAGATTAGCTTCTAGTGGGGGAAGTCCATTATCATCACTTGACTCCAACTCATCGTTCAATTCTTGCTTGGAGGTATGTCTCTGCAAACATTCTGAGGTGGCACCTCCATTTTCAATTGAATCATCCATATTTGAGGATTTGAAATTTTCAGGCCTGCTGGGATTACAAGCAAGAATAGTAGTAAATACCTCAGAAAACATTATAATAATAAAAAAAAATTCTCAAGAAAAAAAAAATTGAGACCTGAGGACAGTTAAGTGGTAAAAGCAAGCATATCTGCATTATAAAAGTTATTTCTAACACCTTAAAACTTACTAGGTAGCCCTAGTTGCGTGCTGCTAGTTCTTTGATGGGAGATTCATAACAGGAAACTATATGCAAAGAAGGTCATAACACTTTATGGAGATGACGGGCCTATAAGTTGACTAGAAAGCTACCTGTAGTCTAAGTTATATGCAAACCCTCACTAATGAAGTACTCAGGAAGTTGCCAGAGATGTAGAAAAAATGGAGTGGAATAAGTATGCTGAGTTAAGTTGGTAAAGAAGGATTCCGATGGAATTGCTTCAGATAAGAATGCTACTGTCCTTTTTTTTTTTTTTTTAAGAATCTGATAGTCACTACAATCACAATGCTGGAAATTAACATTGTCACCTCAAACCAGTATGCATGGTTGGTTAGTCAATGAAGATTAATGGGCAGAATGCAGAAACAAATCTAACAAGAAAAAGGCAAGGAAAGAGACCCTAGGCAATCACATAGAGGAAACCGATAGACACTCTAAATTGACAGCTAAGCTTCCAGTTCAAATGAAGACATTATTGGCCAAATCAAGCAAATGCAGCAACCATCAATAAAAACTTTAGGTTGAATCAGGTTCAAATTTCTGCAAATCCAAGTATTAAGATTAAAACAAGCAAAATGCAAAATGATAGTAAGATATGGGAATACATTCTAACAAGCTAATGCTAAGATGTTAAGAAAACATACCATTCCGGAGATTTCTGTAGTGCACGAACTTGTTCATAGAACAGAACTTGAGAAACAATGCATGCCACCTTGCTACCAGATTCAAGTGCCTTTTCTTTTCCACTTTCATCAACTACAACGAAACTCCCTAAAAATTGAAGAAGCAATCAAACACACATGAAAATAAAGAAGAAAAAAAAACCCTTGCCTGATTCGTTAAGCTAAAATTAATCACTTTGCTACACTGCCCAAACCCAAAATAGTTACTCCTAGATTTATCTGAAGAGGAAAAAGGAAAAAAATTGTGGAAAAAAAAACTACACAATATAACCTTTGGATCTAAGAGGAAACCTATCAACTGAATGGTTTAGCCGAGGAATTTATGGAACACAGAAAAATATGGCATCAAAAAAGAAATAAAAGAGGAAGAATAACACAAAATTATAAACCAAGTTATAGCAGATGACTTCTGAGATTCGAAAATGACTGTAGATGCTTGTGGCTACTTTTGAATATACGCATGAAACAAACCTCAATAAATTTTGACTAAAGCAATGCCAAAGTGATATTTATTTGTAACAAACCTCGTTTTATCCACATGCTCTTCTGAAACTTAGCTGGGAATAATGCTAGTGATTTCTCTCCTCGAGCATCCATTACCTTAAAATGGTAAACAACCATAAAGAAGCATAGTAACAAATTAGAAAAGGGTGAAAGAAAACCTTAATGCAACCGCTGTGACATTAATCAAAGGCAGAGTGGATATTGTACATTGCATGAATGCATCATAGAATATATTCCTTATAAGATGCAAAGATATCCAACCCCCCAACCCAAACAAGAGAAAAGAAAAGAAAAGAAAAGAAAAAACCTAATTTTTTTAATGATTAAACTATACCTTGAATAACAATCAGATACTCAAAAAGGCCCATATGTTCGTCCAATAAAACAAGAGAGGCTTTGGTTGAAAGCCCAGACTTTAACTGGGAATTTGATAGCTTACTAACCAGATTTAACCGATAATCTAGTAGCAGTATGAGCAAATTTAAAGCTAAAAGACAGTGAATTTGTGAAGTGAAAGATAATGGATACCTCAATGAGATTGGATCCTCTTAGAGACAGCACTTGCATAACGCTTTGGCCAGGTTGTAGGATCAAGTTTTGGTCTTTTGCTGCCCTCTTTAGATTCTTCCTCCCTCCTTTCATTGTTCCTCCTTTCTATGCTATGCCCAAACGCCCACAATTCTTTTTTTAAGAAAATCTTTCTAGGGTTTTTCTCTGACCGTGTTTAAAGGGAAGAAATATAGAAGAAAAAAAGGGTAAATGGAAAGGAGAGAGACAACCGTCTGGGTCTTTTGGTAATTCCATTAATGAAGATGTCACTAAAATAAATGACAGACCAATAAGAAAAAGGCCTTGCTTTGGGAGTGTTGTGTTTCACTTTCACTCGAACAAATTGGGTGTGAGTTTTGCCACGCCTTAATGAGGAATTAGGAGTCCCATAAAAGTATAAAACAAAGCAAAATCTACCTTCGAGTTACCGACTTTGGCAACTCGTAATTGGCGCGTGTTTGCAGTCTCCCAGCGGTCGTGACTCGTCTGCCCCTGTTCTTCCTTCAAACCTCACAATTCAAATCCGAAACTTTCTCCTTATAACACCTTCTAAATGCAACTAAATTCTGCCTTAATTTGTTTCCAGGTATTGCTTTTGCTTCTCTTTCTCAGGTTTCATATCCCTTTCTCTAGCTTATTCGCATTGCTATAATTCAATTTGCTCCTTTTACTTTTATATTTCCGCTCATTCAATGGAATTCCTTTGCTTTCAACTTTTGTTTATTGCTTTTGGCGTTTTCTAATGATCTGGGCATGCATCTTTGCATCAAAGAACTCAAGCTGTTTCTTATATTAGGTATTGAAACACTGTTAAAGCTTCTGGTTTTGTTTGTAAATTTCTGTCCGTTTATCTAGTTTCTATTTGGTTTGTAGTGAGAACAATGGGTAGGAAAAAGCAAGCCAATCCGCGTCGATCAGGCGCCTTAATTATAGAGAACAATGGTAATGTCGACCCCAAACAGGAAGCAGACGAAAACAGGCAAAAAGGGAAGGTGGAACTAGTGGATACAGAACAACCATTCTTTGTAGAGGTTGATGGGGCTTCTTGGCATTCGGATGAGCATCTTGACATATCTGAGGTTGTTCTGATTGATTTGAATTTGAGAGAAGGTTTTGCTGGTTATAGAATCAGTGAGGACTCCAAGTACTCCTTAAGGTTTCGAGTTTGTAATGTCAATGAGTTTGTCAGTCGTATTAAACTAGGACATTGGCCTGTGTTATCTTCTAGTGATGTATCTTTGGAATTTGTAGAGAAAAGCATCTGTGATGGTGCGGAGAAGGAATCAGTGATGTTATCTGGGAGTTTTGATGGTCCTGATGTAGGTATTTCTGCTCTTGTGCACTTGGCAAGTTTGAAATTTATGACCTTGAGGCCAGCGATGTTGGTAACACTTTCAGAGAGCTTGCCATCTTTCAGAGTGAGGGTGGAGATACTAAAGAGTGTTTTCCATGATTGTGAATCACTCCTGGAGAACACAAGGCAACTTTGGAAAAAGAGTATGATGAATGTCATGGCTTGGTTACGTCCTGAAGTAATGACTTCTGAGGCTAAGTATGGAATTATTGAACCAATGAACATGGAAGTTGATTTGTATCTACTGACAGAAGATGAAGCTTCCCGATCTAGGAAACGAGCAAGGTTTGATGTTGCTGGGTTTTATGAAGCTATAAAGCCATCAAAGTGAGTTGTCCAATTATTTTAATAATATTTTTATTATTTCCAATTATTGTATTATAGATTTATTTAGTGATGCGTAACTGTCATAGTTATGTTGCGACTTCCTATTTTTGGTATTGAAATCACTTGTATGTGTCCTGTGCAGAGAGAACTCAATGCTTGAGGATGAAATTCCTGACTTGCTCCCTGTTCTGAGACCATATCAGCGCCGTGCGGCTTACTGGATGGTAAAACGAGAGAAGGGAGATTCAAGAAGTCTGGATGAATGGGAAAGGAGCATGTTGTCTTCTCCATTGTGTGTACCAGTGGATTTTCTTGATACTTATTCAAAAATGTACTTTAATCCATTTGGGTAGGGTTCTTTTTCTCCAATTGGGATTTTACTGAAAAGAATGTCCTTGCATTGCTCCTGTTTTTGTGGCTTGTGGTTTTTCCCACCCCCCACTCCCACACCCTCAAAATAATAATTAAAAAAAAAAGAGAGCATTTTTCTTCTCTTCACTTGCTTAATGTGTGGTATAATGTTTTCAGTGGAAATGTTTCTCTGCATCCGAAGTCCACTTCTCCTTATGTCTACGGCGGTATTCTAGCAGGTACATAATGTTTTCTGGTTTATATTCTTAAAGAGCCGAAGTTTAGTAGTGATAGGGATGAAAAATTTTGCATGCATAAGTCCTATCAACTTCTCAGGGGATTGAAAGTTTTCCTCATAAAGTTGATCCTTTCAGTGTGATTGATAGTTTACAGACATAGCAATTTTGGTACAGTAGTTATCATCTTATGTGTTATATGCATCATTTCTGCATTTTCACTACTTCAGCATATCACTGGTTTGTTCATTTTTTTTTTTTTTGGGCCAATTGGTCCATTCGTTTGAGTTTGGCTTGTGAATTCCCAAGATTTGTGGGATTGTGGTGTTCCAAATTAGCGTGGGAATCTACTCTTGCTTGGTTAGTAGCTTACTTAGATATTGACACCAACTAATTCTTGTATGCTCTTGTCTGGTGCATGCTCCTAAAATTTTGGGTTCTTTTTGGACTTTTGACTTCTGAAAAGTTTTGCTTTTTTTTTTTTTTTATTGTTTAAAGCTGATATTTATCCACAAATCTAATGTCACTCTGCTTGCTTTGGTGGTGGTCATTATGAACATCACAGATGAAATGGGTTTGGGGAAGACTGTTGAACTGCTTGCTTGCATCTTCGCACACCAGAAGCCAGAATCTGAAGGTGGTGTATTTAATGATAATGTAGCAAAGGTCACTACTGATGAGAAAGTTAGTCTCAGAAGATTGAAAAGGGAGCGTGTTGAGTGCATATGTGGAGCTGTGAGTGAAAACCGTAAATATAAAGGATTATGGGTACAGTGCGATATGTGTGATGCTTGGCAACATTCAGAGTGTGTAGGTTATTCACCTAGAGGAAAAGCCCAGAAAGTCAGTGAAAGTGCTGATGAACAAGGACTACAAAAGCAGATAAGAAGGAAAGAGACAACCAATATTGTTGTCAGAGAGGGAGAACATATCTGCCTGCCATGTTCAGAGCTACTACAAGCTACCGACTCTCCCATTGCTACAGGTGCCACACTTATAGTCTGTCCAGTTCCTATATTATCCCAATGGCACTCTGAGATTATACGGTATAAATTGTTTCCCTCACTTCTTTTTTTACACTTGCAAATTCCAGTATCCTTAGGACTATAGTAGCATTAAATTCTGCATTTCTTTGGTAAGTAAATTATTTTGGAGAATTAAGAAATTTGCATATCATTTTGTGAATTTCACTTAATTCCTTCAGATTGTAAAGGAAAAATATATCTAAATATATTAATGATCTGCTGATTGAGTCAAACATGTTTTTCATGGCCAACTGGGATGTTGGAAGTTCTGGGCATATGACATCTTCTAATGGTAAGATATAGCTTGAAATCCACTTAGACTGTTGTGATCCTGATGCAACTTTTTCTCTATAAGGCCCTGATTTGAGGAGCTAGTAGCCACACCTCAGCTGAACTCTGATCTCTCAACATCAATCGTGAGACATGAAGTTTAAGAGCTTTTGGTCCTATGGGAGGCATTCTTTTAACTTCACTCCGTTTTCTGGGCTGATGTGCTCCGAAATCCCTTAAACTTAATGATTTCATAAAAGGCAGGGGGCCCAATATGACTTAAATACTAAAGAAATCTGGAAAAATAAGTATGATCCATGCCAAGGCAATTTATGTAACATAGATGGGTCAAAGTAACCTTGTTGGATGGAGGTTGGGACTGCATCCATTGTTATTATAGTCAGAAATGATGAGTCATTAGAGTTGAAATTGAAATGATAATAGTGAAAATGAATCTGTTAATCATAGATCACAACCATTTTCATGCATGAAATCCTAATTACTTTAATTTCTTTTTGTTGAAAAAATTGAAATATTTTAGATAGACCTTTTTATGTGAACTGGAAGCCATTTATTTTAGATAATATTTACATGTTCAGAGGATAATTTGTTGAATTGCATTACTTTGTGCCTTTTTTATTTGTGATTCGTACTTATATCCTTTTACTTTTATTTGTCATCCATAGCCATACTCGTCCAGGTTCATTAAAACTTTGTATCTATGAAGGTGTAAGAAACCCTTCTCTTTCGAATACATCTAGAGTGGATATCAATGAACTTGTCTGTGCTGACATTGTATTAACAACATATGATGTACTCAAAGAGGACCTCTCTCACGACTCTGACAGGCATGAAGGTGATCGACGCTTCTTGAGATTCCAGAAGAGGTTCCTTCTTAACTTCTGATTTATTGTGTTTCTCAAAAATGAGCATTTACTAAACTGGATTGGCTTTTTATTTGAAAGTGTCCTCAAGTTGTTATATATTATTTTTTCCAATGCCCCAAAATTCATTGCTTCTGAGATTCACTGGGTTCATTGAATGCTTGGAGCTGGCTCCATGGATGTACCCAGGCTTTTCTAAAGTTTTATTTTGACCTTTACAAATTTTCCTTATTGAAGTTCTCTTTGTAAATTCTTATACATAAGGTAAATGTTTCCAAACTATGTACTAATTCCAGGAGTGTTTTTTAGTTGAATTTTTTCCCTTTCGACAAAACTTCATTTTGTCAACAATCATTTTGGTTTCTCCAGTGCTTAATTGTTTACCTTCAAACTTTTTTTCCTCCAATCCTTTTGGTTTCTATTAATATGAATTCTTTAAAATATAAAATTAGATAACATTAAATGAAATTTTCAACTAACTAGAATGGGCCCCGGTTGACCTAATAATGTTAGCTGTGATCCTGGCTGCCTCCTTGTTTAAGGTTTAAAGATGATGACAGACTGTCTTTTTGGTAGGTACCCTGTCATTCCAACTCTTCTCACCAGAATATTTTGGTGGAGGGTGTGTCTGGATGAGGCTCAAATGGTGGAGAGCAATACTGCTGCTGCAACAGAAATGGCAATGAGATTATATG